CGCGGGCCGGAGTGTGCGAGGCAGGGGGCGGGGCTTCCGGCCGTGCGTCGACGTCGGCCGGCTGCAAAGGCACCTGGGCCGGCTCTCTCTCCGCCAGCTTACGGCGCTCCCCCTGTCCCGAAGCGGCCCTCGGTCTCCGCTCTTCGCATCGTCTGCCCTGACGACATGAGCAACAAAGAAGGTGGCGTCCTCGACCGCGCTGGGCCTTATTTACTGAAAGGGGGAGGATCTCCAGCCTTATTTGTCGGAATTCCCCTTCCGTCGAGGGATGCCCTCCCCTTGCTGGCTCGGGGAGGGGGGCGTCCCGGGGGCTGTCCCGGCCACGCCGGCCCTCCTTACACCTCTCACCTTCTCAAACCCTCGAGCTGTTTTTGTAAATCTTAACAAAGGTGACTGCTCCGCCTCGTGCCAGGTCCAGGAACCCGTTGGAGGAGGCCTGGCCGAGTGAGCTTACGGTTTGGGGGCCAGGCAGGGCCGCTTCTGTGTCGGTCGGCCGAGGAAGCCTCTAAGGCCAGGACCTGTGGGTGTAAAGGAAGGAAGGGGTTTGCCTGCCTGCATTGTGTTTTGTCACCTCTTGGTGATGGAAGAGCCCTATCCAACTTTTTTCTCCATCTCTACGTAAGGTTCAGGAGGGTTCAGGAAAAGGAAGCATGACAATTTCCCACATAACCAGAGGAGAGAAGGGAAGGATGTTAATTCCTCTTCACCCGTGATGTTGGCCTTCAAATGTAAGTTCTCTGTAACGTAAGTTGGCGAAGAGAACAAAAGGCGGTGACGATTGTTTAGCCATCGTGCACGAGAAAACAGCACCTTAGAATTTAAGATGTGCACGTGTCCACGTTTTACTCTGCCTGGAGCTTTTGGATGGTGCTAGGTCGGCCATGACAGTCAGGATTGCAAACGTCTTGATCTTTTACCCTCTTACAGTTTAACGGGCAAACATCGGTTAATGAACACGAGACGTGTCATATAACTGAAAATTATGGTGTCCTTGATATGTAAATATATCAGGTGTGCATACACTGCTTCGTGACTGGGAGAAATGCAACGCCAGGTGCTTTCGCTGTGTGGACATCTTAGAGGGTACGCACCTAGGTGGTCTGGCATGCCACTGTCACGGTATGCACTGTGCTTTTGTGCGACTGGCAGCAGGTAGCTTCACGCCATCGTCACCGCAAACACGGGAATGATGTGTTGTGCCACCACGTTAGGAAGACTGTGACGTCCCCAGGTGGGAGTTTTTCAGTCCCGTGATCGTATGTGACTGTCGTTGTATATGAAGTTCATCGCTGACCAAAAACACCATTATGTGGCACGTGACTGTATCAGGTGCATGTATAGCCACGTACGTTTTACATTAATGTTTTAAACGCGTATTGGGTTTGTTTCTTCAGCTAGACTTGAAGACAGGGACTGTGTTTTTGTTACGATCGGCACTTTGCGCAGTGGGAACTCCTGTTAGTAAATCATATATACGTGTATAGGTGTATATGGATTCACAGTGTCCCTTTCCTCAGTGTGTTAACTTGGTCAGGTGGTTCCTCTTTTCAAAACAAAACACGAAACAAAATTCTTCTTCTTGTCCTCTCCACCGTCCTATACCTTATATTTTCTGTGGTTCAGGAACCTGACAGGGGCTTAGCTATTCTAACTGTTGACAAGTTAGGGCTTCTCCCAGCAACCAGCTGTCAGTTCTTCACACGGACTCATCCATAGTGTTGCTCGACTGTCCTCATGGCATCTGGCTTTCCCCAGACAGAGCAAGGAGGAAGCCACGATCTCCTATGTCCTAGTCTCAGACATCATACACTGTTACTTTTGCTACGTTTTATTTGTTAAAATTGAGGCAGTTTAAATTCTCCCTTATATTTAAGGAAAAGAGAATTAGGCACCACCTTTCAAAGCAAGGAGTGATTTGTGGACGTATTTAAAACCACTGTAGCATCTACAGTGATCGTCAGAGATGTGACAGTTGTGATTGAGGAGAGAGCGTATCGATACAGCTCTGTACTCAGTGGAAAAACCGCAGCAGACCACGTGTTCTCCACCCTTGTGCTCCGACACGCTGTACGGAGCTGCTCGTTTCCAAGCATATTTTGCTGTTTTATGTTTCTGCCTAGTGTTTCACACGTAGTTTTTAAGCTTGGAATTGCTTCTAACTTGGTGCTCCCCTCGTCCGTCTGGTGTGCTATGGTTTCATTCAAGACCTAGCTCAAGTAGCTTCTTTTCTTTGAAGCCTTTCTGATATTTCCCTCCAGCAAACTTGATGACAAACATTGCAGTCATTCATTATCTATCCTTTCACTCAAGCAGTATTTATTGAACATCTACTATGTTCTAGCCCGTGTTAGTGACCAAGAAGAATGTAGTTCCTACTTTCCTGAACCTTTTACGTATATTTGTAGAATGATCACATTTATGCGTCTGTCTGCTCCTTTACTAAGCTTCTCGAGGACAGGTACTGTCTTATTTAACTGTATTCATGGTATCTGCTTCACAGTGGTCATTACGTATTCATAATAAAGAATACATTTGATTATCTTGAAATACTAGGCACAATTTTAGCCTAATTATTATCTCAATAATAAAATACCAGACGTATTTAGGTCCTTGTCAGCTATTAATTTGGTTAATAGTTTATTCAAATTTTTGATTTTTTTTTTTAATTTATGCAAAACGCACCTGGGCGCATCTTAGGGAATAAGCATCTTGCTTGGTTTTTGGAATGACAATGCCGAAATAGAGTGGTAATGAAGTGTTTAGTGGTTGTGGGTATTTCAAGACTAGGGCTTGAAAATGCAGACAGTTGGTGTTATTTAAAGTTACAAACCTAAATTCTGGTTCCTTAGGGTTATATAGTATGTGGTAAGGTAATGAAAAAAAATTTTGTTACTTAGGGAGGTAGTTGGAAGTTATTTTTAAAGTAGTTAGGTGCGATAATTTTGTGATCTCATGTATAATAGACCTGTTTTTGTTTTTGTTTTGTTACAATATGTATCTCACGAGACTCTGAGCCGTAAAGCTTGGTTAAGGCGAATACCTCTGTTTAAAGAAAGAATGTTTTGGTTACTTAGAAATAAATAAGATGATTTTGTCTTTATTTTCTATAGTGTTAACAGAAGTTGCTCTATTACGTATAGCAGTGATGTTATTTGATGGGCTTTAATTCTAGAACATGCATACTTACGGTCATAATACTGTCTTCTTAGCATTTCAG